ATTAAGTATCAAAATATTAGATACCTTAAAAAACTTGAATAAATAGTGAATAAACATTTTCTAACAAAAAGTGCAAAGTAACAACTAGAAAAAATAGAAAAATGCACAAAGAACTTGAATGGAGATTTTTTTCCATCTACAGATTTTTCCCTGACCTTCTTTTCTCTGTAAGTTAAAGGTGCACACTATTGCTGAAAAGCACAATCACTACTCAGCAGTCAGATGTCCGTATGCACAAAGGCACAGCTCCCTAAACAAGACCATATCTGCAGATGAAACAAACAACAAGAAGCATTTTTTAAATGTGAACTAGCACCACATGACTACACCGCGTTATGTACAAGAAGCTGCAAAAGACACAGGCACAAGTGGAATGTACAAAACATGGTGACATTAATTTTTAAGTAAATATAATGGGCGATATATTGCATCACCAAAAATAATTGAGGTCATGTACATATATTGCACGATAAGTCAATATATTGATTATTGCGACAGGCCTAATGTGATGCCCTGTCCGACTAAAGCAACGAGACTAAAACATTAAAACCCATTATAAACGAGGCATTTGTTGCATCCAGTGGGGACATAATTATGGATTATAATGATTTATACTGTCTTTTTACGCATTGCGTTGCATCGCGCCGCGTAAACATAAAACCATGTCTGCATTTGTGATCGGAGAAATGACAAACAACAAGCCCTACTCTACACTGCCCAAAAAACTTGCGTTTGAATCATCAGTGGCAAATTCTTTAAATATAAAAAATGTACTTACAGTCTGTGAGTCAGAACAGCCGGCATTGTAGTCTACTCTCCCAGGATCAGGAAACAGTCCTCCATAAAATGCGCTGCACACATCTGAATATTTGGGTTGAACTGTTCTGGAACAGTGTTGTAAATACAACTTAACCACTGATTTCTAGTCGTGTCCTCTTTTGGAAGACCAAACAAAGTAGTTTCGCTTTCACCACGAAACACAGTGTCACACACTGCAGGCTAGAGTGAGCGGATGCTGGAGGCCTAGAGTAAGCGGAGGCCGGCTTGAGTGAGCGGGCGCCGGGGGGCCTGCGGCGACCACATG